GGGCCATACACACCAATCCCTGCCTCTCTGGATCCTAGGAGCCCTGGTGCATAGAGGTTACACATTGGGCTGCGGCCCAAAAGGTCAGCAGTTCGGGAACCACCAGCTGCTCCTCTGGAAAAAGATGGGGCTTTCTACTTCCATAAAGAGTTACTTACCCTCTCACAGGGGCAGTTCTACCCTGCCCTAGAGGGTCGCTGGGAGTCCGATTTGACGACAGGAGTTCATTTGGATCCCACCCCACCCCTGGATCCGATAAGGCAGTGGAATATGACATGAAGGCACTTGTAAAGTGCAGGCCATTGTCACTGGCGCCCACTCAGATGACTGAGTCCCTGCTGTGCACCAGGTGTCATCGAGCTTTGGAGGCCGTGCTGGCCTGGCTTCAGGACTGACCTTTGATTAGCCCTTGCCGGCAGCATGCAAGCCAAGCCTGGCTGATCTCTAGGTTCAGGGGCTCCACAGACAGTTCACAGAGTGGCCTCTGGTCTTAGGTCCCCTTCTACCTTGGAACTCTGCCACCCTAGTGGCTGGCCGATTGTGGAGTCACTTTTTGGCCTCCTGTAAAGTGGGAGCAATGGGTACATCTGTGAGGGTTGAGAAGAGAGGAAAATGGGCTAACATACTGTCCCACCTACCCCTGTCACACAGTGCCAGCACGGCCCTCCATCTCCAGTGGAGGATGTCCCCATACTAAGGCCACTCGACCCAGGGTCCTGACTACCTCTTGGGTCAAGCCCACCACAACTTCCCAGAAGGGTTGAGGGGATTTGGAGAGACGTGCGAGGAAGACCAGGCAGGGCTGAAAACCAAACCGAACTGGCTGCCATAGATTCCAACCCATAGCGACCCTGGAGGATGAGAACTGCCCCTGTGGGTGTCTGAGCCTGTCAATTTTTATGGAAGTAGACAGCCTCCTCTTTCTCCTGAGGAGCTGCTGGTGGATTTGAACAGGCGACCTTACAATTAGCAGCATAACACTTAACAGACAGCACAGCTCTGCCTGGCCAGCTGTGCCTTCTCATGGTGCCTGTCCCTCTCAGGGACCCAGCCTCCTACAGTCCCACTAGGGATCCTAAGCCAACTTGGGGGTGGGTGGGAGAACTCAACAGACCTGCGGACCCTGGAAATGCCAGTTAGAAAGACCCCCATGCACCATTGCCACAGTGGTCACTCCTTAGAGCAGCGGTTCTCAACCTGTGGGTCTTGACCCCTTTGGGGCTCAAATGACCCTTTCACAGGGGGCGCCCGATTCATAACAGTAGCAAAATGACAGTTATGAAGTAGCAACGAAAATAATTTTCTGGTCCTTTCTCGGTGCAGGAATCCTACGATTCTAGACCCTAGCATTTCCGTCCCTTTGGACAATAGCCAGAGAAAACTGCTGGTCGGCCCTGGACTAGTTGGCCATCCCCAACCATCTCTGCAGGCCCCCCCAGTGCGTGAGTCACAGTGACCTCTGCCCTGCTTCAGCTTCTCCCAGGTTGAAATTCCAAAAAGGATTTCCTAGCCCCGGCCAGCCAGCAGGATGTTCTTCCTGGTGACCAGCTGAGTTCTCTCCTGCTGTGATTGCTGCGGGCCAGCTTCCCTGTGCCTCTGCTTTGGACGTGCAGACCTGCCTCCCCCAGAGCTGGAGAACAGAACAGAACAGGGGAGGAGGCGGAAAAGGAGGGGGGCCGGGAGTAGAGAATGAACTCTGAGGGGAGGGGTCACCAGTGCAGGCTCCAGAGTTCTACAACTAGACTCAAGTCCCACAGTGGCCACTGGCTATGGGCCCCAGGGCCTCCCTCTGTTCAATGGGTGTAGCTGTAGAGCCTGGGCTAGGCGTTTGGACCATTGTCCATGGCCAAGCCCCTGCTGTGTCACCTAGCCCCTTACTGTGCTTCCCTTTGGTGACAGTCCATGGTGGGAGGGAGACCCGGGCTTCAGCTGGACCACATGCTCTCCGATAGGCCACAGTCCTGGGAGGCTGCCATGCTGCCTGCCCCCACCTTAAGGTTTCCCCAATATTGCCCTTGACTTTGCCAAGATCATGAGGTTTGTGCTGCCCTCAGACCTCTATCTAGCAGTCAGTCCAGCCTCTACTCTGGTTCTCAGCTGTCTCTGAAGTTATCAATAGACTTTCCACGGATCAGCCTCCTCCCTTGGAGGTATCCGAGAAAGAGGCACAGAGAGGGGCAGTTGCTTGTCCAGGGTCTCCCAGGAAAACCCCACCTCGTCTGAAAGACTCTGAAATCCCTTCAAAAAACAAAGTAAAACAACTTTTTTATTATGGGGAATACGGACCTTACAAACCAGCAGAGGGAATAACCTGAGGCATTCTTATGTTCCACTCACCTACACCCAGTCCCCACCAGCCCCTGGCCACTCCTGCCCAGGCCCCACCCAATTCCTTCCTAGAGGACATTGAAGCAAATTCCAGACATCATATCAGTTCATCTGAAAATACTTCACAACGTGTCTCTGAGGACATCCAGCCAAACCCACTGGCATTTGAGTAGATTCTGACTGAGTGACCCCCTAGGACAGGGAGCTGTGAATCATTCCCGGAGCCGATGACTTCTCAGCCTCGTCTTTTTCCTGAGGAGTAGCTGGTGGGTTCAAACTGTTGACCTTTTGGTTAGCAGCCCAGTGCCTAACCCACATTGGCCCCAGGGCCCCTTATGCTAATCCAATATGACTCACAGGACAGAGTAGAAGTGCCCCTTGGGGTTTCTACACCTGTAAATCTTCTGAGAGTAGATCACCTCATCTTTCTCCCATGGAGTAGCGAATGGGTTTGAACTGCCAACCTCACCGTTACATCAAGATGCTCTAAAATCCTTAATATTAGACATGTTGTGGTTGTAACTGCCACAGAGTTGCGCACCGAATCCCCCACCCCCACCGCCATGCAGTGACCCTCTGCACATGCAATCAGACCATGTGATCCATAGAGTTTAAATTGGCTGATTTTGGGAAGTAGATCGTCAGGCCTCCCTTCCAGCTGCCTCCTACTAGATTCGACAACAGTCTGTACATCTCCTAGGGTTGGCGTGTGTGCTAGGTCATTTTCAGGCCTCTGAATTCAGGGCCTGCTGGTTTGACCCCTTGCTAGGACGCCGCCTTTCCACCCTGATAGGCTCCATCAGGATCTACTGTGTAACGGGATCCCTGAGAGGTTCTTCTGCACAATTTACGTGCTTATACATCCCCATGCAGCCATACCACCCTGGGATCCTGGGATCCTGTAGATCTTGAATCAGTCTGTCTTGGTGGGGCAAGGGTGGACAGGCAGCGTCTCAGCAGGGGGTCTAACCAGAATGACCTAGATTGAAGCCCTGTTGTTGGGTTTGGTTTTAAACCTGCAGGGTCGCCCGTCAACTTTCACTTTCGTTTTTCTTTTTTCCCCTTGCAATTATTTGCCGAAGACGCAGAATTCTTTGCCCAAGGTTTCTCCCTCCGTGTGTGGCCATCGCTGATGATGGTGTGTGTGACATGTCCCTCTGTCCCCTGTGTTTCCTGTAAATTGGAATTTCAATCTAGAGGCAAAGCCCATGGGTGAAGATGAGTCACAAAATATTGCTACTGAGGGCTCCGGTTCATGCACGCACGGGCTTATGCGGGATGACGCGTGTTTAACCCCTCTCTGAAGACCAGCTCTCTTGGTGACACGGTTGCCTTAGGCTTAGCCCTGTTGAGGTGCTGTCAAACCAAGGTCCAGTTAAAACAGTGGCTTCTGGGGGCTCGGCCGGACCAGTCAATTCAAGGCCGAGGAGGCAGCAGAAAAGTGGCATGGAGAGAGTGTGTGTGTGTGTGTGTGTGTGTGTGTGTGTGTGTGTGTGTGTTTGTTCTCGGACTCCCAAGGGATCATCTTGACTGGACTGCTTATCTCAAAACACACACACACACACACACACACACACAATGGACATGGGAGCTTTATTAGGAAGACGTTTTAAGGAAACTGAAAATTGCATTAGGCCAAGGAATCCCCCGCCCTCACCCCCCATTACAACAATACACCTGCTTATTCTTTGAAGGTAGCAAGGGCTATCTGAGAGAATTTCATTGGGGAACCGTACCCTATCCCTCCTGCTGCCCTGATCTTGCCCCCTGCGACTCCATGTTCCCCAAACTCAAAGGACACTTAGGAAGAACACGATCCGAGTCTCTGGAGGAGGCTCGCACTGCCTTTTTAACCTGGTGTAAGTGGAAGAGCGCAGAATCCCCCAGGGGAGGCTTGGGGGGATGGGAACAGCACCCTCAGCAGGCCTGCAGGGGGTCTAGATGGAGGCCAGGCTGAGAACCAAGAGCTTCGCCTTTTGCTACTTTTTGCTTCTTAAAGGTCTCTATGATTCTGTAGCAATACTTTGGACTAAATAACGGTCCAACAACATCATTAAAATTCCCGTTTATTGAGCACGTGTTGTATGTCAAACAGTTATGATTTTGTTTAGGGATCAGACAGCCCTGCGAGGTCGGTCTTAGTGTCCCCACCGGTGGACAGATGAGCAGAAAGGCACACGGAGGCTCAGAAGAGTTGCTTTGCCTGAGGTCAGGCATCTAGGAGGTAGCAGAGCCTTCTCCCAACATCACTACAGGGAGCATGTTGTGGTTGAAAGGCTTGGGAGCGCCACTAGCCGCTCTGTGTACACAGTGTAGGTGTGCGATCAAACACATGGGGGACTAGGGCAGTCAAGAGAGGGAGGTAGAGAACAAATCCTGAAAGGAGGGGTTTACCCTCCCCAATGTCCATGGACCACCAGGGCTGGGAGGATCTGAAGACCCCCACCCCGTTGAATGGTCTTGGCTGGCTGTGATGCTGAGACCCATGCCCTTCCCACTGCCCTGTAGACCTGGACCTGGAGAGCTGTAACCTGGAGCTGCAAAGCAATGGCTGCGATCACCGCACGGCCGACCTCTGCCAGGGCAAGCTGGTGGTGCGGCGGGGCCAGCCCTTCCGGCTGACGCTGCGCTTCGTGAACCGAGGCTACGAGGCCAGCGTGGACAATCTCACCTTCAGTGTGATGACAGGTGAGTGCTCTGCTCTCCCTCCTGCCAATGCTGCTCTGTTCTGTGATTTCCTTGTCCCTGGGGCAGAGAATGGGACAGGTCACGGCATGCCTTTCCCCTTAGTCTTAAGGGCACCGTTAGCACCATTTTACAGCTGAGGGAAGTGGAGCCCAGAAAAGGGAGCTTTATCACCCTGGATCATCCAGCCTGGTAAACAGCTGTGTCCTTGAACACTGGGATTCCAAAGTCCATTGTCATTGGGACTGGGGCTCAGCTTCCTGATTCACAGGGCCTCCAAGATCCTGACTCCTCCTTCCATCTACATCAAAACAACTTTCTGACCTCTTATCAGCAGTTACCTCCTGACATCCACACGCCAGGGCCCCACCGGCTCTCTGGAGTCAGGCCAGCTTGCATCTGGGTGGCCAGGAGAAAACCCAGCCATTCCCAGCCCTTGGAGTGGGTGGTTTTGCATCTCAGAGGTTCCCTCTGCCAGTCTTGAGAAGAGGCTTTGGGCTCCGGGCCTGGAGGGACAGACCTGGGTTCCACGGTGGGCTGGGCTGCCTACCCACTGGGTGACCTTGGACAAGTCGCTTAGCCTTTCTAAGCCTGAGTTTCACCATCTGAAAAGCACTCAGATGGGAGGGATGTTAAGTGAAATGTAGACATTCACCGCCACTGCTGGCACCAGGGGTCACAGGGGTGTGTGAATGGGCACGGAGGGCCCGGTTGCTCCGTCCCTAGATGCCCAGTCTGGAAACCTGGCCTTGAATACCAAATCAATTCCTTTGGCTCCTGATGGGAAACACTCCCTCAAGGTCAGCAATGGGCCACCTGGCTGAGACTTGAGCCCAAGGGTGGGAGAAGCTGGCTCTGAGGTTTCCAGGGGCAGAGAGAGCAGCAAGTAGAAGGCCAGCACGTACCTGTGAGTCTTTTGATAAGGCTTATCACAGAGCAGGCAGGCTGGCCACGGATATCCCCCCCATCCTCTTCCTCCCTCCCTCCCATCTCTTCCCTTCCCTTGCTGACAAAGACACACCCACTACCCAGGGTGCACACACATACACACACACTCCACCATACCTCACACCCTTTCTAACAGAGCAAAGGGGCCCAGCAAGCCGCTGCATTATTGAGCCTCAATTTGCCCCTCTGTAAAATGGGAGGCTGGAGTCCATGATCCCCGGCTGGATGTGACTGGCTGGGGAAAGGCAAACTGAGGCAACTTATAATCAGCTGGGGAATCAGGCCCAGAGAGGGGAGAAAGCTGACAGAGGTCATTCGGCAAATGGAGTGATTGGCCTGGCCCCTAGCAGTTGTGTGTACATTCCCCCAGGAAGGTCGAGCCCTCGCCGCTGTGGATGAGGGTACAGACCATGCCACACAAATACCATCCTTGTTGCTGGCCTAAAGCTCTGCTTCCCTGGGAGGGGCAGGAGAAGGGAGGGGTGTGCGTAGGGGGAGTGAGGTTAGCCTGAGGAGTGAAAGGAACCCTTATGGGTTTAATAGAAGGCATGGCTCCAATGGTCCCCCTCTCCCATCCCCACCCTTACCACCCCCACCCCCCCACGGTCTAAAATTGTGGCCAAGCTCCTCCAGGTCCGCAAGGCCACCTTAGCCAGAATGGTTCCAGTGGCGCCCGGCCCCACAGAGCACACAGCATGGAACCACAGCCAAGGGGAGTGTACAGTCTGCTTACGTGAAGGGTGGGAGTGGGGGCTGTTTGAACAGCCTGTTCCAGGTCCCACCCTCCCGTGGAAGAAAGGTGGGGTGGGGGGCTCTCGCACAATGCTGCCACATGACAGAGAAAAAGGGAAAGTGTGTTTCCTGACCTGCCTCCCAAGGGTGGTGTGTCAATAACCTCGTTGGCTATGGGACCTGGCCAGGCCTGTTACCACGGTGACCAGAAAATGGATTGTCCAAACAGGGACATTTCTGGGAACGAAAAGGGTGGCAGTCATAATTATGTCAGGGCCACTGGTCTGGGATCTCTGAGCACCCTGGGACATGCGCTCACCTTAGGTCACCTCTCCCAGCCTCGGTTTCCGTCACTCCAATATGCTCCGGCCCGGTCCTCATCATAGCTTGTCCGCCCTGAGCATTTTGACTGTGCAACGGCCCCTTTAGAGGACCGCATTTACTGCATGCTCATCGTGAGCCAACCGCTGTATTTTGGAGGCCCTGGTCGCACAAAGGCTTAGGTGCTCAGCTGCTGACCCAAAGGTGGTCGGTTTGAATTCATGCAGAGGCTCAGTGATCAACTTCTGCAAGGTCAGAGCCTTGAAAGCCCCTCAGGCGGCTCTGCACCCTGCGGGGTGACCGTGAGTCAGAATCACTTTGATGGCAGCTGGGAGTGGCTGTTCTTGCTGCTTTCCAAGGACTCCTTCAGGAATCCAGGCGTTAGTGCCAGGAGGTGGTGGCCAGGACCATGACGGGCAATGGCAGCTGTGACTTACTGAGCACTTACTACGTGCCCCAGGGGCTGCCTCTACACTGGGTTGCTAACCATGGGGTGTGTTGCTCAACCCCACCAGCCAGTTGCTCCACAAGGCTGCCCACTCGCTTGGAAACTGAAGTTTGAGGAACCCTAAGGAACAGTTCTTCTCTGCCCTGGTGGGTTCCCACGAGTCGGAATCAATTCGATGGCAGCGGGCTTAGAGTTCTTGACTTGCCAGGTCCCGGATGCCCAGGTGTGCTGTGCTCTAGCTGGTTGCTCTCCAGCTCCCTCGTTGCCAGTGGACACAAAGTGAAGTATGTGCCTCAGGGGGGTGAGGCTTGCCCCTTGCTGAGAAGAATCCCAGACGTCTGCTATCTCAGTGGGGCCAAGGAGAAAGCGCTGCTCTCTGATGCCAACAAATCTTGGAGAGTCAGAGCAGGAGCCGTGGCCGCTGTCTGTTGTCTGTGAAGAGACTTTCCACTTCTGCTTCCTCCTTTCCCCTTCCACTGCACCCACCCCCAGCCCCCTTTCATGAGGCCCCTTCCTGACCTGCTCTCTGGCACTTAGACGTGGCTGGCCAGTAAGGATTTCATCTGGGAGACAGAACTTAGGCGTGCTCCTCCCAGAACACAAACTGGGCACACCTGGACATGATCCAACATCCCCCCAAAGACAAGAGTCCCACCTCAGGGAGCCCAGGCTGCTCCCATGGGCTGTGCCTCCCACCCCTGTCCGGTTTCTCCCATGAGCTACAAATGCCGTTTGGTCAGACCCTCAGGACAGCATCTGCTCTGAGCTCTGTTCCCGAAGCTCCCTCACTGAGAACCTGGGGTCAGGCTGACGCCGCACCAGGCACCTGGAAACACGGTTCACCTGCCTCATCTTCTTCAACCCTTATAAAAACCATAAGGTAGCAGAAGGACATTGGACCTCCACTCAAGTACTTCCTCAATGCAAGAATACTTTCCTCTATTAAGCTGCATTCTATGATGCTCACCCTCCCAACACAACCGCTGAAGACAAAGTGGGTGAATAAGCAAATGTGGTGAAGAAAGCTGATGGTGCCCGGCTATCA